ATATATTTTAATAATTAGTAAAATTTCGTATAACAAAATACATATAGATGTATCTTAGTAGTAACTAGTATGTATTTGTTAAAATAATTTGATAATGAGAACATCCTGAATTCATCTATATTTTAGGATATAATAAAGAAAATTATTTTCCTTTGGTTATGACGTAATACTATTGTACCACACACCAATACATCCAATTTGTTATTATTTTCATCCAGAATTGGCAATCACTACTCCAAAAAAAGAAGAGAAAATGTAAAGAATTATTCTAAATACAAAATATTATTCTTTTGATTATGATTGCATCACTATTGCATTTCTTTAATTAAATATTTAATACTGCACGTGGCAGTAACACGACACGGCAGCAGGTAGCCATCTTGATTTTTTCCTCAGCAATGTGTTGTCCGCGAAAATTCAAATAAAAAAAAATCTTTTTTTTTTAATTAATCCATAACCACAAAATTAATTATTATAACAATAATAATAATACTTTCATTATCTGAAACAATATTTATTTTCATGTGTGTTTATGTAATCTTTTAAAAATAATTCATAAATATGTTTTTAGTAACAAATTAAATATGTCATTTTTTTGTTGTTTAGTTAGTAGTAATAGTCGATTACTGTAACATGAATTACTACTACATATAATTGTACATGCATCGAAATATTTTGTTATATAATAATTAATTTTCCATGAAATTATATTCTTATGGTCAAGCAAGAGAATTAATGTAATATTTTTTAACTATATATATACACTATCATCACATCAACATATATCTATGTATAGTTTATGCAAAACACTAATGTATTATAAGAAAAGAARTATATGTGTATATATAGAGTATATATTAATGATGATCATGATTGAATTTTTCTTAAGGAAGATGCTGATGATGATGATGATGATCTAACATAAAAGACACAGTCGAGGCAAAATCCTTTTCTTCTTGTAGATTTTCTTTGATCCAATTATTCACCCCGTTCATTTATATAAAATTATATGTCGATACAGTCGACGATGATAAGTCGCAGCAACAGTTTATACAAGAAATCCTTTTTTTGTAGGTTCCACAACACTCCTCTTTCTACCTCCAATTGCCATTATTCTCTATTTTTTTTGCATTTTATTATGAAATTGTGGTCAGATTTCTGTGGGTGTATATGTTTTGTTCTGAAACAATTTTAAAAATTATAGTTAGAGATTGGATAAAAAATGTATATGAAATATATATATATATATTTATTTTTATATTTAAATTTCTTTTTAACTTCTTTTATATTCTATTTTATTTTCACATTTAAATTTAGTTATAAGATGGGGGGGCTTCGCACCCAGACCCCCACCATGGTTGTTCACCACTGCACTCTTTGCTTGTTGTTAAATTTGCATAATATTCGCAATAATATGTATTACAAATGTATTAATTGACACAACAAAGAAAAAATAGTATATTACATACGTTGGACAGTAAATTCGGTTATGACGTAATACTATTGTAAAACACAGCAATACATCCAATTTGTAACTATTTTCATCCAGAGTTGGCGATCACTACAACAAAAAAGAGAATATGAACTGAATTATTATTTTATAATTAAAAACAATATTATTCACTTAATTATTGCATCACTATTGCATATCTTTAATTAAATATTTAATAGAGCACGTGGCAGTACACGACACGACACGACACGGCAGATAGCCATCTTGATTTTGTCCTTAGCACGATGTGCTATCTTTCGTCTAGATAACGAAACATATTCTCTACCTGTCGGTAACTGAATTAAATATATTGTCTATCAGTCGGTAACTAAAGTAAAAATTTCTATCATTAGATAAAAGCATAATTTTGCTAGTCGGTACAATGAAGTAATAGCTAGTACCGCTAGATGGCGATACACATTCTTTACCAGTCGGTAATAAAATACTGATTTCCTAATATATTTTTATTAATTGATTAAAAATTAATAAAATCTTAATCATTTACTATATGATACAAATAAGTGTATTTTAATAGTATTATAATATTTACTTCTTTTTCTAACTAAATTATTATATTTACCTCTTAACAAACATATTATTGTTTAGATTATTTTTAATCAGAGCAGCTGCATTCTATTCGCATAATAATTTACATGAAATTCCTTGCAAATAAGATATTTATTAGCAAATACATAAATTTTATCTTGTCAATCAATGAAAAAATAATATCTTCTATTACTGTGTACAAAACTTGATTAAAAAGATTTTGTTCCATAATAGAGTTCCCTTATATAATGTATTTGCCATTTGTTTTCTTATTTTGTGATAACTAAGATAGATACATTTGTTCTGGTATTCTTTTGATAGAATATTACTACATATGATTTTCTCGCAGTGCAAGTATAATAAGAACAGTGCATTCAAAAATCTTTCATAGTTGCAGTATTGTTGGATTCTCCTTATCAATCTTGATAATAATGAGTAGAAACTTCCAGTCAAATTATTTATATTTCCTGTGGAATGAATTAGTTTATCAATCAGTTTAATATAGGTTTGTTTTTTACAAATACAAGATTGTAATGTTTACCTTTTAACAGATTCTTGTCTTGATTATTCTTTGTTAATGCAGCTGCATTCTATTTACATAATATTATAGAATACAACTCATCTTAGGATGACATAATTAATGCAAATCTTATAATAGTTAGCCGTAAGAAAATGAAATATATATCTATTGATCCAATGGTGTAATGGACTCTTCTTCTTCTCTTGGGTATAACGTTTTTAGATTGGAATTAAAAATATAGATCAGCATGTTGATCTAAAAATATTTAATAAAGTACTATATATATGTATCAAAATATGTTTGAAAAGGGAGAAAATGTTTTGATAATGCATAAAGTTAAAAAACAAAACAATCCATATACTTTAATAATCAGTAAAATATCGTATAACAAAATATATACTTTACCGAGTAGTATTTGTTAGAATAATTTGATAAAGAGAACGTCTTGAATTCATTTGAATTCTCGGATTTTATTTAGAAAATTATTTTTCTTAGGTTATGACATAACACTGTCCCACAGCAATTTATCCAGTTTAATTATTTTCATCCAGAATTGGAAATCACTAAAGAAAGAATATGAAACGAATTACTCATTTGATTATTGTATCATTAAGACTTTTTTTAATTAAATACTTTACACTGCACGTAGCCTGCATTTGCGGTATTTAAAGTACATTGACAGGTAGCCATGTTGACTTTGTCCTAGCGATGTGTTATCTTTCGTCTAGATGGCGACACATATTCTAGATGTCGGTAACTAAAGTAAAAGTTATTACCGCTAGATGGCGGCACATATTTTAAAGTCGATAATTAATTACAGATTTCTCAATATATTTATGATAATTTATAAAAAATTAATGCAATGTAAATCATATTTTTTATATGATAATAATAAAAGTATCTTACCAGTACTATTATAATATTTGTTTCATCCTAAAACAATATTATTATTTTTTCCTCTGAACACATATTATTGTCTAGATTATTTTTTCTCACTAAAGTTGCCTCCTATTTGCATATTAAAATATATGGTAGTATTTCTACAAAAAAGACATGATTTCTTACAAATATATACATTTTTCTGTTCCTTATCGATTGCCAGTAAAATAAGTGTACATTCATAAATTTAGTACATATTGAGAAGTGCACATTAGAATGGTTTGCATTTGTTTTCTTACTTTGGAAAAAGCAAGGATGCATTCTTTCTGCTATTCTCTTTGTATAGGATACTACTGCATATGGTTTGTAAATGTATAACTTAATGAAATAATTAGAAGTATGTTTGTTGTGTGGGTGGTTGTTAGTTGTGTGTGTAGTTGGATAGAATAAATGGTGTTTACTATACAGTGTAAAGCACACCACAAATTCGCGATTTACAACCACGTGCTATTAGGTGATTGAGATACCCAACCCAACTATAAGCTTCGCAAGCATGATTGGAATTTTGGCTGGAATCTGGAATGTATCGTTATAATACATTGTCCTCCAGTGTGGAAGGTAATATTATCTGATGAATAATTGGCTAGAGTCCTGATATTAAAGATTACATTGTACGTAGAAATTTAAATTACAAAGATTTACAAAGATTGTTTTACGCATAATAAATGAAAGAACATTTGAATAATTACTTACCACTATAATATAAAATATATAAAAGTCAAATAACTGAACAAATAAAGACAAATAAATGAAATATTTGATTATATACCTTTATGCATGAAAGTTGACTTGAATATTTTCCTGTAATGACAGGGACGAAAATAGAAAAGAGAATTGGCGTAGGCTGGGAAGCAAAGAATGGGTGTTTTTTTTTTTTTTTAGATTTAAACAATCATCGTAAAATGTTTTTACGTCTCGTGAAAAAAGCTTCGACAACATTTTATTGTTAACCGCAGAAAAAGCCATATACACTTTCACACGAAAATCGATCATTAGTTCATAATAATATCGAAAAATTGACGATAATTAAACATTATTGTTGTACATAAATATAAAGATGACAATATATTGCACGTTTTCTCTCTTTCTCTCTTTCTCTCTTTCTCTCTTTCTCTCTTTCTCTTGCTTTCTCTTGCTTTCTCTTGCTTTCTCTCTCGTGTGTGCCCCAAAACTGTACAAAAATTATTCTTAAACATTTTTCGCGACACTCATTGAACAACTTATTATATATTTATTCGGTGAGAGGAGACAAAAATGGCGTATTTTTTATTTTATTTTATTATTACTCATTATTAATTATTAATTATTAATATCATTCATTTATTTTTTTCGTCTTATTTGTTTGCTTACTTTTATTCCCCCCTCCCCATTAGTAAAATGACGCACTAATTTGCATTTCTCTGAGGTGCGCGTGTAAGTTTTTTTTTTTTTTTTCGTATGAGAGATGCGATAATTAATTATTTCAAATTGATAATCAAATATTATACGGCCGGAGCGGGTGGAAGGAACGATTTTTGGTGTTTTTTTTTCTTTTTTTTTTTTTTTTTTTTTTTTTTTTTTTTTACCTAATAAAACCTATGAAGTACTTTTTTTTTCTTTTAGCCGCGACGATCAAGTGCCGAACTCCATTTCCCTTTTATTTTCTTTTCTTCTTCTTTATTTAGAACTTTTATATATTTTTCTTGATACCTAGTCTCGAGCAATTGTTTTAAATATTTTGTTTATTCATTCTCCAACCCACGCACATTTTGTTCAACAGCCACGCACATACCGTCGTTGTTAAATCGTTCTTTCTTTTTTTTCTTCTTCTTCTTCTTCTTCTTTTTTATTATTAATTATTATTTTTTCTCTCTCTCGTTAATATCGCGCAATTATTAGTACAATTTTTTTTAAATATTTTTTTAACAACAGCAATTACATGATATTTTTCTTCTTTTATTATTACTTGTTTTATTACATTTTAAAGTTGCGTGCTTTTTTATTTTTATTTTTTTTATTTTTTTTTCATCGTAAATCATCTCTATTAAATGTCATGTATATAATATCATCTTTCTTCGCAATTTTTTTTATTTCTTAATTATTTCTTTTTTCTCTAGGATTCCTTTGCAATGATTTCGTTTTAATGCGATTTTATTTATTTATTTATTTTTTTCACTATATCGTATTGCTCTACCCTTTTTGTTTCGGATAAACATTATGTGTTATTTTTTTTTTTTGTTTATTTTCTTTATTTTAGTTTTCTTTTTTTCACTTTTTCGTTTATATTCAAACTCTCGTTTCTTAATCAATCTCTTAATGTCTTTAAAATCTTCATCATGTTAATTTAATTTTGTTTATTTCATTTAATTTATCAGTGTGTCATCAACGGCTTCGATTAACTTCATTATCCGTTAATACTTATTAAATATTCATTTAATTATAAATCACAGACAACTTGTTTCTTAATCCATAAAAACAATTCATTTTATTATTCCTTCCAATAATTAACTAACGCTCGTGGCGCAATAATAACGTACGTTATATTATATTTTTCATTAATACATTTACCAAATATTTCTGACGCGTTGGATGACTTCAAAAAAAAAAAAAAAAAAAAAAACAAAGAAAGAAAAATCTTGATGACCAGAGTTAGGTGAAAAATCAAAATCAAAAAGAACTCGAACTGATTTTGACGGAAGTAACGAGCCGATACTTGCATGCTCGAACTCGTTTGGTCGATACTTCCGGTTGACATAGATGCATCAACTCTGTGTGTGTGTGTGTGTGTATAGAACGACGAATGTTAAAAAACAAACGAAATTTTTACGGCCCTTTCTTCTTTTTTTTTTGCCCGAGATTCTTTATATATTATTATATATACGTATATATGATGCATATATGCAATGTTGAGTTGTCGTGTATGTATGTATGTATGTATTTTCTGTTTTTTAAATTTAGAAATATATTCGGCCATGGATATCGATCGATGTATACGACGAGCAAATTTTCTATTGCACCACTTGCGTTAGTTATTTATATTTTAATATACTTATAAATAACTATAGGGAGAATTATCTTACGTATAAAGTGCTTTATCCTTGTATCTTTTTATCCCCTTCTTTTATTTATTTACTTTTATTATTTTCCTTTTGTCCGTCTCCCAATCTTTTTCTTCGTTTTTTTTCTTCATTTTATATTTTTCTTTTGGATTTTATCATACGATATACGAGAATGAGAACGCAGCAGTTACGAGCATAGTCTTTGGGATTTTTTTATCCTTCATTTTTTTTTAAATATATATATATTTTTCATCTTATTATTTATATTATATATTTTGTTGTTATTTAAAACAAACGAGACGATGATTTTAGGTGGAGATATATGTTTTTCTCTTCTTTCGTTCGGTTGTATGGATCGGTCTTTCTGTTGGTTGTTTGTTTGTTGTAACGTTATTATTTTTATTTTTGTTTTGTTTTGTTTTTTTTTTTTTTTCCTATCGTTTATAGCCCATGCTTTTCTTTCAGTTTCGGTATTTTGTTTCTTTTTTTTTCCTTTTTCAAAAAAATGTTAATAAATATAAGAACGGATTTTCGTTCGAGCGTGTGTGAAAATTGTGTGAAAATTGTGTGAAAGTTTGTCTATCAGACATTTTAATATTAAACAAAATTGTTTTGCCACTTTGGGGCAACAATCATTTTCCACCAATGTAGTAGTTGATTTTTTTTATTCATTTTTTTTCTTACGATGTTAAATCGTATTTTTGTTTGTTTGTTTATTTTTGTGTTGGTTGTATATATAATATATATATATATATGTGTGTGTGTTTGTTTGTGTATTTCACAGATTCGCGAGAACAAAGTAATTTCGCAGATAAATTCGATAAAAGTGTGTGTGTGTTTGTGTGTGTTGTTCGTGTGTATCTACTAAAATGCACAGTGATTTTTGGATGCGTTTATGAATCACACAGCAAGCGAATTACTTAATTTTAATATTTTTTATAACTTTTATAATAACGATATTTTTTTTAATATTTAATTCAACTTGACATCTTTCATCCCCCATTTTTCTTATTTAATATTATTATTATTATTATTATTAATATTACTATTATTATGTTTTATTTTTCTTTTCTTTTCTTTTCTTTTCTTTTATATATTTTATTTTTTTGCATTTATTTTATATATTTATATGTCATTTTTATTCTCGCCATTTATTTTCAAATCCGTTCGTGTTGTTCGCAAATAACATGACTTTGAAATATTATATTATGTATATATACAATATACGAGTAACAACGCATTTCTTTTACGAATAGAAATTTTTTATCATTTTCTTTCCCCGCTCCTTTGTTCCATTTTTGTCATTTTTTTATCTTTCTTATTTCTCTTTTTTAAATACATTTTCATTCATACTATTATTATTATTATTATTATTATTATTATTTTATTATTATTATTATTATTACCTCAGATATACCCGTTCGGTGTGGTCGAGTGAACCAGAGGGAATTTGTATACTCGTTTATTTTTCTAATTCTTATTATTTCAATAAATTATCGGCAGACACACGCTTGTTTTAATAATAATAAGCCGAGATAGTTTTCGATTATTTCATTTTCATCGAGAACAACAATCGTCGGTCGAGCACGTAGGACAGATTCGAAAGGAACAACGATACCCATGATGATTATGATTATTATTATGATGATGAAAACTCTAACGTAAGATTCACCGTATTATACATTTGTATTTCTTATTAATTTTTCGTTTTTTTTTTTTTCCTCTATTATTTAGTACAGCCACGTTTTTTTCATAATCGTCATCGAAAATAACAAAAATATAATCATCATAACACTAGACACAAATAATGAGAATTAGAACAAATTTCTAATAAATTAATTAATGATGAATAGAATTTTCATTGTCGAAATTCAACCAAATTTAAATAAGAAAAACAGTTAAAAAAAATTAGGGGTTGAACATCGTTACAATAAAAAAAGCTCGCGTGCTCGACCGGGTTCTCGAATTTAGCAAAAAGTGCTCAAGGAATAATAATAATATAATATTACTTTTTTTTTATTTATATATATATATATATATCAAAATGATAAATACGAAAAAACGACGAACGATGACGATAAAAACGTACGGACGAATTTACGTCGTTTTGACAAATTTCTTTTCACTTTTTCATCTCCTTCATTTTCTTATTTATATTACTATTATTATTATTATTATTATTATTATTATTATTATTATTATTATTATTATTAATTATGTTATATTATGTTATGTTATTTTAAATTGAATATTTTCAACTTTTTTTTTGTCACGCAAATGATTGGCGCGAGAGGCAAGAGGAAGGGAAGCGGCAATTTTTTTCTTTTTTTTTTCTTTTCTTTTTTTTTTTTTTTCCTTTACACTTCATGGCGGTTATTATCGAGTAGAAAAATGTTTTTCACAAAATATTGTTTTGTCTCTGTCGATAAAGTTTAGCATAAATCCCTTTCTTTTTTTCTTTTTTTTCTTTTTTTTCTTTTTTTTCTTTTTTTTCTTTTTTTTTTCTTTTCTTTTTCGTTTAAAAGAAAAAAATCAATTTTCAATATATATTTCAATTTTATTATAGTAAATTTTCTAATTTAACGTATTGTGATCGGCATTTGCACGGAAAAAAATACACACACACGTACACACCTATGGTTTCCTTTTTTTCATCTCATTTTTTCTTTTTCCCCCTGTTTCTTTTTATAATTTTTTTAAATTCATTTTTTCAATTATTTCTTAATAATCATCGACCTATCGGCAATATGTGTACACCAAGCGACAAAAAATCAAATTATATATGTTTTTATATTTATCTACATACATGCATACAAATATAAATACGTATGTTTACATATATTTGTATGAATGTTGTGTGTGTGTGTATATATATATATATATATATATATATATTATTATATGTTTTGAGGTGTGGAGGGACGGCCGTGGATCTTTCAAATTCCCTCTCATAATTTATTATATTAATTAATTAATTAATCCTTTTATTTATCCTCTGATTCACTCTTTTAAAAAGGACGACGCGTTTTTATTTTTATTTCGAAACGGTAAAAGAATTTTGGCTCTTTACGGTTAGCAAACGTCTCAATTGAATATATATGTAACACTATAATAATTTATTTATGATAATCCATCGATCTCTCTCTCTCTTTCTCGTGTTTTCTTTTTTTATTTCCATTCTCTGGACGTAACGTTTTTAATTTTGGGCAAATACGAAGAAAAAGGAGAAGATGCGTTGATGGTTTTTTTCTTTTTTCTAATGGGGTTTCCATGAGATGTTATTCATACCATGAAAATGACGTTTCAGACTGCTGCCATCGGCCCAGGGGGAGTTGAGATACTCGTCGTCATCGTTTTGCTCAAGTTGCTATAACAAATAAATATCACATATATTTTTGCATATATATTTTGAAAAATATTTTCACTAAAATATATATTATTATTATTATTATTATTATTATTATTATTATATATTTTAGAAGGAATATTGTAAAATGAGGAACGACTGAAATTATAAAAGTCGTTTAGAATCGTAGCTTTTTCGCGAAAGGGGTGGTGGTGGCCTCCCTTCTGAAACGGGGAGAGTCCTGGTGTTAGGTTCAAGGGTGGGGCGTAGATAGTTGGGTCAGAATCGATGCTTGGGCTACGTCCTTGCTGCTGCTACCTAGTTTACCTCGTTTTCCTTCCTCTAACTCGTTCTATATAAGTATAACGTTTTTTATTTTTTTCCTTTTTTTTTCAACTTCTTTCAAAATTTATTTCCAATTTTTGGTCTATTTCTTATTTCCTAGCAAAATTAAAGTTATGAAAACTCGAATAAAATAGTATATACATATTAATATATAAATACATATATATGTAGACACCACCCACCCACCTCCTGATGGTCGTGTGTTAAATCGTTCTTTGCGAAATTATCGACGCGACACAACTACCCTTACGCGACCGGGTGGTGGCCTTTCTTTTCATTGACGTCGATCGAAGTACCTTTTAAAAATGTATAAACTTACCCCTCATCCGGGGGGGTGGATGGGGGTATCCAACATCGTCCGAAGGCTTAAGCTTGGATGTTTGGTTTCTATCACGGGAAACTTCTAGAAAGGATTTTTTTTTATGTATACTACAACTAATCATTTAAAGACTACTTTTGGTTATTGCAAATAACGTTAATTTTGTTGTTGTTGTTGTTGTTGTTGTTATTGTTGTTCTAAATATCCAGAGAAACATTCTTTAATTTATTCTATATATAGTAAATATGTATATATGTACATGTATATGTATATATTTATTGAGTATAGAAACGCGAACCCTTGGCACGAAACTAGACTGCAAGACGCCATCGTTAATAGTATAGTGAATATTATTATGACAGTTTAAGGGCTGCCAAGTTGGCATGTATAACACCGATTTGGTAGAAACATCTGGAAAATTTACAGAACAACGTCCAACTAATATATCCTAAACATAAATCAGTAATTTAACCTAAAGTCTAAAGACTATTTTCAATGAATTATCAAAATAAAAATAAAAATAAAAGAAAAGAAAAAAAAGGATAAAAAGAAGAAAAAGAGTTAAAATGCAAGAATCTGCAATGTTTGCGTAAACTTATGTTAGTTCATCGGATAAATCCTAGTCATGTTGGGGCTTAGGCCGATGCGGTCAAATTGGCCGTGTAATCGCGTTCGATATATCGGTTAAGTATGATACTGAAAACCAGGTCTATTAACATGCGAGAGAAATAGAAAGAGAGAGAGAGAGAGAGAGAGAGAGAGAGACAGAGAGAGAGAATACTACTCGGTCACACTATGATATTTATATATTACATATACATACAAAACCGCGGACAATACGCGTTTCTGATTGATCAAACATCGAATGGGGTGGTTATAGGAAGTAAACTGTGAACTATTATTTGGTTTTTCTATGATATACCTATCTATCCCACCACCATACCAAATGCATTTATAGTTTTCAAAAAGATTCAAGTATGTGTAGTTTCTTAAAGTGCAACTATTTAAATAATAATAATAATAATAATAATAATAATAATAATAATAATAATAATAATAATAATAATAATAATAGTAATAATAATAGTAATAATAAAAGCTTGAATGATTTAAGTGTTTGACCATTCAATTTCATCCTATTTGACTTATTTTTTATTTAACTACGTGGTTGGGGTGATTTAAAGCGATTATGTTGAGATTGGTGTCGTGACAATTATCTTAACAAATCAATTTTTATTTAAGATAAATCGAACAGAAGCCCTTTCCATTGAACGTAAAGTATATTAGAAAATGACGTGAGAATATAAATGCTACCTGTGCAACCTAGGAGTAAGTAGTAGTAGTAGTAGTAGTGTAATGGTCATATAGTAGTATACTGCGTTAAAAGCCAGCCAAGTGTTGCATGATCGACATTTACTATCACTCGACTGGACAATAAAATCTCGTAAAATATACAAGCACACATAGACGCGTGTGTGTATGCCACACAGGAAAATATTATTAACCATAAACGACCAACGGCAATTGGATTTACTCTTATAATAGGATCACCTTAACGTACCCATGTTTTTACAAAATAATTTGATGTAAGATAATGCTGAGATACTTATGTAAAAGGTGGAAAGATACATAATTATGTTTCATAGTAAATTCAATTAATAATATACATATATATTAAGTATATTTTATTATTATTCTAAACGTTTCACTTTCCTATATTTATTTTTTTTTTCTGTCCCCTACTTATAAAAAAAATAATAAATAAAAAAACCGCCTATTTGAAGGGATGATTTAATGCAATTGATGTTTTTGTCGCTTACCCCTGAATCGAAAACGAATTTGGTATGCCATCTAGACTTTCCCTACTGATGTCATCAGCCATCGCGACCTTCATATGATGACCGAAGCTTGCTAGATCCTCTCTAAAAGCTTCGCTTCCAGGTGTAAGAGCAGCGCTAGTTAATGGCAAAGGTGTACCATTGCCTCCGTCTACCCCCTCGGGACAAATCTCTCCTGCCTCCCCGTCAACTAGGCTAACCTCGTCTTCGTTGTAGATCTTGAAGTAGGCGATGGTGAGGTATATCACCGATATTATGAATGATGGTATCGGAATTGCCATCGCGTACACCAGGTTCATATACACCTGGAGAATGCATTTTGCGCAACCCACTGTCAGCTTTCATCTTTACTATGATTTTATTTTTAATTTTCTATTGTGTTTAGTTTATACGATTAACATATGACATCAAAACATCTTTAAGTTAAGAGATGATTTTTAAGAGATGATTCAATGAATTGATTAATTAAATGAAATGAACTAACAGCTGTGAATTGAATTGGATGCATGTGGAATTATTGTGGGATTTTTATTGTCTTATTTTTATGCTCTTGTATTTTCAAAAATGAAAATAAAATAGAAGAAGACTAGTTGTTATCGTTAATGACACTTCTTTGCTAGTAATTGTTCCGTGAAATGAATTATTGTTTATATAATAATCTTTGCGAATAAAATGTAAGTACGAAAACAAAAAAAAGAGTATGAAAGAGAAAAGCAAACTAAACTAAACCTGAAACTAAACTAAACGAAACCATTTGGATGGTTGTTAGATACGAGGGGAGTTTTATTTCGTGACTCGTACTACTGTTATTACTGCTGTCGATCCTATCCTAGGATCTTTTTGTTTTTTTTTTTAGTTACTCGGTTATTTTATTTCCATTCTTTCCTTTCCTTTCCTTTTTACTGGATGTAATGGATCAACAAAAAGTAAAAGGGGAGAACAGGGGGTGGGAGTAGTCATAAAATAAATATAAAAACATCTACGAATTGTAAACGGTAGGAAAGAGAGAAAAATGTCGGGGATATTTCGTGCTCGTACTACTGCACGAAAAACAATCTCTCATCCTTCTTTCTTTCTTTCTTTGGGTGGAAATAAAATAAAAAAGATAAACCTTACTCTTTATATTCCATCATCCCTACATACTCTCTTTAATTCTATATAATATTAATGAATATTAAAAATTAAAATATTAAAAATAAATTGAAAATTAAAGAGAAGAAAAAGAAATCAAAATAAAACAAAGTTGACTTCATGAAATTTGTGATAAAAAATATAATACATTTTTTTCGTCACTTCTTTTTATCACAGGTACAGTCATTCGTTTTTCAACCATTGACGCAACCCATTGTATTTGGGTATATTAACTAAAAAAAACCACAGGCTACGTTTTCATCGATGTTTTATACAGAATCATCTTTCTCTCTTTTTCTCTTTCTGACTTTTACGTGAAACGTTTATTACTACACGCCTAGAACACGAAAGAAAAGAAAAAAAATGCATTCTCTCGCGAGATCTTTTTTCTTTTTTTTCTTTTGCAAAAGTACTCTGCCATCGCGCAGGGTGCTTTTTCGGCTTTCAAAAAGATTTCTTCTTTTATAAAACGCTGACTCTCGAATCGTTCGTGTCCCAACCACCACCACCACCACCACCACCACCACCACCACCATCGATTGTATTTTACACGCATATTTACTTACATGTATATATATATATACGAAGAAGGATGCACACGTCTTATACAAATATATACGCGTGTCTATTTTCTTTTTTATTTTTTCTTTTACTTTTTCCCTCTTATCTGAAATTTCATTTTGACGCGAAGCACTCTGGAGACTTTTCCTGTTCCACGATCGCGAAAAGATATTTCTTTCCTTACGGAAAAACCCTTTAGAATGATTTTTCTGTCTGTTTTTTACTATTTTCTCTATTTCTTTTTTTTTTTTTTATTCTTTTCTTGAATTTTCTTTCTTTTTGTTTTTATTGTGTGCTCATATATTTCCATCGAGATACGACGAATAATATATTTTTTAATTAAATAATATTATCTTAAAGGAAAGAAAAATAAAAAAATGGTTTCGTATAAAATGATCATTCATTTTGAATGAGAAATTATATTAAAACAAAAAAATGTTTAAACGTTAAAAAACAAATAAAAAAAAAAAAAAAAAAAAAAAAAAAATCGGGTAAGAGTGAGAAAACACGAGAGAAGGGAAAAGAAGTAATTAGAAGGTAGTCAAGAATTTCTTTGCCCTTTTTTTAATTCCCTCTCTCTCTTTCTTCTACGTTTTATCCTTCAACAATGAAGAAACGAAACTTAAGACGAACTCAGGGCCTGGTTATTAAGAGAAAGAGAAAAAGAGTAGAAAGTCAGGAGTGAGAAGGATGAAGATGGGGTGTGGGTTAGGGGTGGGGTTTTTAGTAAGGGATGGAAAGTCTAAAAGATCGCTAAGGAAGATTCACCATGTCCTAATTAGCGGTAACGTAAATCTACGTTAATAAGAACGACTCGTAAAGCTGTTTGAGAAACTGTCGTTGAGTGAGACATTTCGGAGTCGCATAACGGGTAGCATGATGAATAGGAAAACCTAAATGAATAGGCACCTGCAGTATATCGATTCTTAAAGGCCGTCGTTCCTTGCTGCTGCAAAAGTGAACTTCTTCTGCTAAAGTTATATATGACCACGTGTCAACTTAATACCTGTATATATACATACAAACACACGTAGTTTTACACGACATGTGTTGTATGTATGTGAGTGTGCGTGAGAATTGATAAAAGTAACAAAAAAGTTGAGAAAAAGAGAGAAGAACGGGTTTTAATATCATTCGAGTTATAGTTTGAAAAGTAAACGAAATTTTCTTTCCCTTCTCCTCCTGTTTGCTCCATCACCCTACTGTTCCTTTAATTTTCTATTTTCTTAAACCACAAAACTCATTCACGCGTGAAATATTTGTGTTTATAGTTTTTTGTTATTGCCTTTGTCGATTGAAAACCCTTTAAAAACTTTTCACTCCTTTTATTTTTGTTTTATTCGTTCACGTAGTTTTTTCCTCGATATCGCAGTAGTACGAGTCAACGATAATACCAACCCCTGATATATTATTCTATATATCTTATATATCGTATTAAAGTTATTAAATTGATATAATATAATATTTATCAAACATAAAAAATATGTCAAATCAAGAATACGTTTAAAAATGTACGTAAGTTCGAGGTGAAATAGAGAAACAAATAGGATAAAGATCATATACGCAGATCAAATAAATGAAGTGTGTGTGTGTGTGTGTGTGTGTGTTAGTAATGTTATGGTTTTCGAGGTCATGTAAGCTATTCGATCGTTTTCACGCGAGAAACAAAACGACCTCCTTTCTTTTTTACCTGAGATCACGTCAAACCTTACACGCACGCACAAGCTAGGATGACAAAATAAAATATAAAACGTGTCAAGAAATTATAGAAATGTAAAATAACGAAAGGGTTAGGATGTGGGGATGAGTTGTGGGAAATGAAAAAAACAAAACAAAAACAAAAAATAGAAAAATAAAAACAAATGTTAAAAAAATGAGAATGCGAAAGCGTTGTGAGACCTGCCACATGTCGAGTTCGCTGATGACTATTCCGGGATCCACTTTTGAGTAGTAACAGCTAAAGTTATGCCCTATGTTGGCATATTGCTGGTAGAAAATACTGCAATTCAGGACTGGAGGGTATCCACAGCCTTTTACGTTCGGGAACAGCTTGGCCCCGGTGAAGTACCACTCGGAATCGTTGCCCATGAGACCTGCGAACTTCGTTTCATTATCGCCGAGCAACGATCTTTCTTTATTAGAGCTGCTGTGTAGACGTTTACACAAAAAAGAAAAATAAAAAGAGCTTATCTGGATAATAATTGTCCTAAAAGAAACACGGTGTCCTTCGTTTTCTCATGTCAATTTTTCATGATGATTTTGATCCTTTGTTCAACAGATAGATGAAAAATAATCAGATGAATTTAGTTAACAAGTTCCTCCCTCCCAGCTACTGCATTTTTTCATTCAATGAAACAATTGATATGTTTTTATATATAGCTTTGTAGAATAAAATAAAACAAATTCTAAAACAATGTCATTCTAAAAACAACTTATTTTTGTTAAATCTCTAAAGTAGTGGGGGTCGCATAAGGGCCCACACTTTAAGTTTGTTGCCTAAAGGGCGATGGAATGTTGTTAAACGAAGAACACCAAGGGGGAGGGGTTAGAGGGTGCAAGTTTGGTATACCTGTAGGAAAGGGTTTCGGCAGTCCTGTATCATCATCATCATCCTCATCATCCTCCTCGGCAAAATCATCATCGTCGAGATCTTCGATATAATCATAATCCCTTAGGGCACGCTCATAACGCGGTTTTTTGTACAACCTCCTGTTGTCTTCGTCATCCTCGACACCTCCTACCGCCCTGCCTCCCTCAACTGGTCCAGCCTCATCCTCATTGGATGACCCATTAATCGGTAGTTTGTAATTAACACGTATTTGTGTGCAATCATACAACTCCTTGGTGCAACCCTCTCTACAGGACGTCCATGAGCAGTTGCTCGTACCTGGACTCAACGATCAACAACGTTCTTTCATGGAATAGAAACTTAACGAGGCCACTCGTAGTTTTCATACTAAATTTCTCTCTCTCTCTCTCAAATGAACCCAATCAAAAAAACCAAACATTGATCAAACACTATCCAATGAATGAACGTAGAACGAGAATCTGATCTCTTTTGATTTCATTTAATTACTATAATGCTGATTTTCATTCTAATAAGATTAATGATGACTAAAATGATGAATGAAGTACATCGTGTGACCTCTTGGAGTTAAAATACAACGAAGACACACACACACACACACACACTTTGGAAATGAGAAATAATGAAAGAAAAGCGTGCATAGGAATAATATCTTTTTATATATCCATAACCCATTAAAAAACTTGAGATATAATTTTGATGATCAAATAAAATTCTATAAGAAATACAAAATATTTGTTGAATATTTATAATTTATCTTTATCAAAGATAAATTTGTTGAAAGAAATGTTTTTAACAATTAGAAACAAAATCTCGAGATATTAAAATTGTTTATCGAATATTGCGGGGGAGTGTGTTTACGGTGTGTTATCGAGAGTAGCAAAAAGTTCAATACTTGAACGTATATAACACCTTTACTACTAACTACTACTAACACCTCCCATCCCCATCTCCTATGCACGATGACGTTCGAGAGAAGAGTAGTTGTCGAGTGTGTTAGAATGAGGGGTTGACGAAAGAATGAAAAAGTACCGCGGGGCACGAATATAAGTGTGTTGGATCGTTCGAGACCAGGTTTGGATAATATCAAGAGTAAAAAGACACCAGTTGCGTCAATCTTAAATCCTATCATTTAGAAAATCTTTTTCTTTCTCTCTTTCTTTTATTTCACAAGTTACCTAATTTATTCATTATTATATAAATCCTAATTAATTTATACAAATCTTTTAATTATTATCACAATCCTAAAAATTTAACGAATAAAGAAAAGAAAAAGAAAGAAAGAGAGAGAGAGAGAGAGAGAGAATATTCGAAGCTATCGTATACACACAACACATACAAACACATACACAAATTCCTCAAAAATATAAACATTTTGATTGTAAATAAAAATCATTATAAATCAAGTCTCTCGAACTGGACTTTTAAAATTGCTTATCATTAATTAGATTCACCAACAAGTATATTTTTTTTTTATCGAAGATACTATAAAAATTCATGAACATAATTTACAAAAAAAGAAAACTAAAGTTGCTGTTTAAAAAAATTAATTAACACGATATTACAATGATATAGTATTTTTATAATATATCATTCATTAAAATATTATTTTCTTTATTACAAGAAACAAATAATTGTTCGCATAACAGATGAGTTGATCGAAATACATGCAACACTATAGTAACAACAACAACAACAGCAACAACAACAACAAATAATAACCACCAAACAAGAACGATGAACCAACCAAACAACGAACTAATAAACGAGACAAGAGGATAACTAACAAACACTTCTCTGACACGAAGAGATAAGAAAGATAAAAAAGTGAGCGTGTGAATGACAGTAGGGGTGGGATTTTGGAGGTTGAGGGTTGAATGTTTCTGATGAGGAAGAAGAAGAAGAAGAAAAAGAAGGAGAAGAATCGAGTGTGTGAATGAGTGAGAGTAGGGGTGAGATTTGGGGGTCAGTTTTTTTTTGACGAGAAAGAAGAAGAAGAAGAAGAAGAAGATCGAATGTTTCACCTCTCCTGGACTCAACGTCGATGGTGACACACTCGGCAGGCCGAGTGTCAAACTGCATGAAGATTGTTGTAAAAGCTGGGTCGATGACGAAGGGGACCAAGAAGAGGAAGGCGAAGAGGCTGAAGGTGCTGAGGAGGATGAAGAACGCGGTAGTGTAGAACAGTAGTTTTTGCAGGAACGTCTGCTTCTCCTTTTCGTCCGCCATGTCGGAGAACAAACGGCAGTGCTCGTTTCTTTACAAATACGACGACAACGACGACGACGACGACGACGACGACGACGACGACGACGACGATGACGACGATTATTTTTATTTTTATTATTATTATTATTATTATTATTATTATTATTATTATTAATCCTTTTAATCCTTTCACTTCCTCGTGTCCTTGTATTATTCAGCTCCGTTTTCACACAAGACGTCGAAGAGGCGAAGCAGAAGATCTGCGTTATTATTATTATTATTATTATTATTTATATTGAAAATATTCTGCAATAAAATAAGTTTGAATCCTTGATAGTTAGTTAGTTCGAATTAATATTATCCTTATCGTACTTTCGAACATTTTTATTAAATGCTTTAGTTTATCTATCAATTAGACGTATTGTTTGTCAATTATGAATTGAAAATAATGTTATGTTGGTTTTGTAGTATATTGCTCATTGTGTTTTGTAAAATTATGTTTAAGAAACAATAAAACTTTTAATTATTAACATTTGGTTTAATAATATCAATCAACGAAAACATTCTCGCACTAATTTACCTGTTCCCATAAAACATTTTAATGAAATGTATTTGACTCTCAAAAGGTTAATAATTTTTTGTTTGTATTTAAAATTTCATCAACAAGTTTCGATTGATCGAATTAATCCTTTCGATTCGATATTTTTTCTCGTCTTCTGTTTTTTAAACACAATAATGTTTTTTCCAAGGGTTCAAATATTTTTAACAACATCATACGATGGAATGGGGTGGGTGGGGTTGGGGTTTGTAAAAAAAAAAAGGATTGTAAAGAAATGTGTGTAGTATAATAATAAAATGATGTTACACGCGAGTTTTCCATACAACACGAAGTTTACAGATCGCCTTTAAGTTCTTTACTTTACTACTGCCCCATATTTTGAATTCTTTCATTCCCCAACACCCTCCCCCAACCCTAACACAAAAAGAAATCTTGAGCTAGTTCTTTTTAAAAGAAACAAAAAACAAACAAACAAACAAACAAAAAAATACTCGTAGAAAAAAAAAATATAATTTATAACGATATCCTATAGTAACTTCATTGAAGATGTATTTTTAAACTTTTTTAAACTACCCTTTTTAAACTATAACCTGTCGTATTATTAAGGGTGACAAACCTTTCATTGATATTAAATTTGTTTTCTTGTTTGTTTTACTTAAAGTAAAATCGAGATTTTATTGGTTGATCGGTTGATTGGTTAACTTTGCTTGGGTTTCATTTAAAGCTCTGTCGTTTAACGCGTTTCATTTTCGAGGTCAAGTATCTTCTTCCGGATTATCGTTACTTTTGCACATAGCGTTTGTAATCCACGAAACGCAAATTCGTAGCCAAACGATTTGAAAGGGTGGCAGGGGGGTGGTAAAGGGTGATAGTCGGGTAGGGGGTTTACTACGAAGCCACGACTAATTAATTACGCTCGATCGAGCGTGTCAACGCGTTCGTCGGACTCGAAAGTGGAACACATCGAGAACACGCTTTCACTACTATCGTTACGTACGTATCGATATCATCGTATGTACATATATATGTACGTAATGTCCAAAACGTTTCTAATTTAATATCAAAACGAAATGAACATAATGAGGAAGGGGATGAAGGTACAAAAAAATTAGTTAAAGTCGTTGCTCCAAGTTCGATTCGTTAATATAAAAAAAAAAAAATTATCAAATTATTTAATATAAAAATAAAATTAAAAAAAAAATAAAATAACAGATTTCGTTATAAAAAATTAACGAATTAACTAACAGAAATTTTGTCTATTGTCACGAGAGAACATATTAATAAGTTTTGATTATTTTAAAGAGTTTGCTTTAAAGTGTAATAAAATTGAAATGGAGAACAAGTTAATGCGTATTTCGTTGGATGTATAATAAGAGAATGAAAAAGAGAAAGAGAGAGAGAGAGAAAAAGTAGGGGTTGAATCTACCAATATCGTTTCTAAAAATAACTTTTCGATTTATCAAAACCCATTGAATTAGGATATATATATATATATATATATATATACATGTATAAAATATCGTCAAATTTAAACAATAAAATTTATTTATTTGGCCAAATGTAACAAGACATTGAAATGACAACGTTAGAAAATGAAACGAAACGAAACTAAACGAAATAAAACGAAAGGAAACGAAATGAAACGAGTCTCGAGAGCTAGGTCGAAAGTACGATTAGGTAAAAGCTCTCTGCTTTCTCGAAAGCTTTTTCTATTCTTTTCTTTGATTTATTTAGTTTTATATTTTATTTTTTCCTTAAAGTAAATGGGTACCCCCTATGAAGAAGAAGAAGAAGAAGATGAAGAAGAAGAAGAAGAAGAAGAAGAAGAAAAATCTATGGGGCTTGGCGCCCTCTTCCTGTGCCCCCGCATCCTGTGTTCTCTCTCTTTCTCTCACACTTTTTCCCTTTTGTTCTCTTTTTCTTTTTTTATTCCTTTTTCACCCTCCTGGGTTGGCCTCGCGCGTTCAACAACCACCCTTTTTCTCTCGTCCACCCGGGTTCCTCCTTTCTTTCTTTATTTCACTATACGAATATACTACTTTTCCACCTTGATCATTTAATCCGTTTCGATTAATTCAACGATTAATTAATGTTAAATTAATAATAGTTCTTTTTCTTTAATAAGCAATCGTCATTGTCGAACGTACACCTTTCCTTCTTCTTCTTCTTTTTTTTTTCAAGTGTTCATACTTCAATATAATTTTTCTTTATTTCATTTTTTTATCTATCTATCTATCTATCTATCTATCTATCTATCTATCTATCTATCTATCTATCTATATATATATAGATAGATATATATATATATATATATATATATAGATATTTTTTTTTGCTGAAAAAAAATAAATTAATATGGTTTTAATGGGATAAAAGAAGAATCGTGATCGAATAACGTCGATTATGCTCGTTAACGACCCAAGCTGACGGAGCTTGCGAACGAATGAACGAATGAATAAACGGATGAACGAATAAACGAATGAACGAATGAACGAATGAACGAATGAACGAACGAACAAACGGGGGGGGGGAGACGTTATTATTAAAAGCACACCGCCGCTTTTTTCCTAGTTATTTTTCCGAAACCCTGGCCGCGGCGCCGACGGATGCCGGGCTACTGCAGTCTAGGGTACCTTTGGGCGAGCTTATTTTCTGACCGACACTGGCGCCACGACGGCATCTGGTGGCATCGACCGATTCCACCACCACCACCACCACTACCACCACCACAACCAATACCACCACCATCACCATCACTAGAAAGATCCCACCACCACTCTTATTTTCTCTCTGAAAACACCCCGCGTGGTGTAACTTTTTCTTCTTTCTCTAGTACCCTTTTCTTTCCCTTTCTTTTCACCCCTTACGTTTTCTTCATCTCTATCTCTCTTTTTTTAAATTATTTCTTTCTTTCCTCACGTATCTTCTTTTTCATACTTTTCATACTACTACTCTAGAAGTTCTTTTCTTTTTTTTTTTAATATAAATCGATTTGTATAAATGAATTTTTAAGTATTTATATGAAAATATATTCCGTTTGTTAATTTTGTTTGTTTGATGAGTACTTTTCAAACGAGTTAAATATATTAGATTATAATATTAGTCCTTGTATCATTCTCTGATGGAAATCCTTCTCCAATCACAATTGATCTCGATGTGTATATATGTATGTATATATGGTTTACAATTCGAAATGTATATAGAGAAATATCCCAAGTGATAAACTCTCCAACGGTCATTCTTGGAATGTCGCCAAAGGATTTCAATGACAATTTGATTTATGAGAGAGCGAAAACGTTTTATCGATCGATTCGATACGATACGATTTTCTTTATTCGTTTAAATCGATTGGACCCCATTCCATTCTCTTTCTCTTTCTGTTATTTTTTTTTTCTTTTTTTTCCAATTTTTTTTCTTTCTCTTCATTTCTTCAGGATGTTAGTAAGCGATGTATGTTCTTGAATCCTTATTGAAATCTTTCAGGAAATATAACGAACAGGATTCGTACGAGATAAGTCTGTATAATGCATCTTCTTATGTTAATTAATACCCAATCACTTTTCCCTTTTTCCTTTTTGTCTTGCCCCTCGTCACCCTTCAACCCTTACAATATTTGTAGTAGGTACGAATACGAAAATGCAATTACCGGTTGGGTTGTATCGGGCCTGTCCTTTTCCTGTCTCAATGAATATTCTCCTCTAACCAGGTTTTCATGCAGTATAACGTTCTGTCAATCAAAATGTGTCGGTAAACGTTGGGAAATACGTTAGCGATAGTGCAAATGCCATTAAAAAAGACAACATTGAAATAGAAGTCTTTAGTACGATGTTAAACAATGCATTTTATCATTATACTTTATGATAAACAAAAGAGAAAGAGGCTACTAGTTAAAAGTAGAACGAAATATGTTATGAATAAGAACTTCAAGAGGAGAAGAATTGAAAAAAAGGGGAAAGGGTTAAATGAACATTTCAATATTAGTATTTATGATAATATAACAATAAAATTTGAATTTAATTGAAATTAATAAAAAATAGAAAGTGTAATCGTTTTAATAAGAGAGAAAAAAAAAAAACTGTAATGTTAATGTGCTTAAGGAATATTTGTTTTATTAGACAAGTAGTAGAGTGTAGCAAAAGTAGTTGTTTAATTTCAAGACGAGAGGAAAACTTGACACGTGTTTTTCTCGCGAGTTTTCGTTGAGCTTTTGTCAACCGATCGTGAGATACACACAGTTCTTTCAACGTCGGTGGTTCCTGGGTACAACTACTACTACTGCTACTACTACTACTACTACTACTACTACTACTACTACTACTAAAGTGTTCTCTCTCTCTTCTTGCTTTCGTTAACACTTGAATATGAAGTGGCTAGTCGGTATAAAGCCTCTTTTCCTTTTTCTAACGAGTCAAACAATAGGCCAACTGGGAGAAAAGAATCGATTTAAATAGATCTATATGTTGTAGAAGGAACCAAAGCAGCTGATACAACTTAATAACACACCTGTGCAACAACATCTTAACTTGTATTACTTGTATTACTTGTATTACTTTCTTACCCATTTTCTTCTTTTCATTTTATTTTATTTTATTTTATTTTATTTTATTTTATTTTATTTTATTTTATTATAATTAATATTCGAAATAATTCAAAATCTAATACACTTGGTTGGAATTTTAACTTTTGACAAACAAATGAAGCAATCTTTAAAAATTTACTTAGAGCACGTTTAATCGTTGATATTAAATTTAATTCATAGAAAAGAAAAGAAAAGAAAAGAAATATATAACACAGAAAATTATTAAAACGAAAAAAAAGGGAAGAAAGAAAAGAAAAAAATGTTGATCAAAGAGAAAAACATTTAGTTTTTCCAATTGATCGATAACATTTACGGCCATTCAAACGTCGAGATGGGTTAACGTTGGACATTTGAAAACACGAACACACATGGTCGATCATCGATAAAACCGACGTGTGAACAGCCCCCGATATACAACTCGATGGGTTTACTACATCCAACAATACATCTATGTTCTTTATAACAGAGAGAAATATAACACCTTCTTTCCCTTTTCTATTCATTGTTCAACTTGTCTCGATTGACGACATTTTTTTCTATCTATATTAACGTTCCTAAGAAAATTATATTTTTATAAATAACAATAAGAATTCTTCCACCATTAATGAAATTATTTACGAGACATTGATCGTTTGCACAATTGTTGAAACTATTTAACATCTAATAGATTCACATAAAAGAATATAAAAGAAAAAGAAAAGGAAGAAAAACAGATAATAATCATTTAGATTTATTATTATTTTCTACGAGATTGTTAAAACAAAATCCCGTGTCTTATGCGGTACGATTGTTTTGTGAGAATTGTGGAAAGGGATAAAAAAAAAAAGAAGAGGTCGTTATTATGGAGCATCGTATTACCCCTTGGGCACCCTTCTTCTCCACCCCCATCACCTCCTCCTCCACCTTTTCAATCTCTTCTCTTAGCAATGAGCCAACGAAAAAGAAATGTCTACAATATTTGTGTGTGTCTCTCTTAGTCGTAAAGCTTGCAAGCTTCAATAAATTTTTATAACCTCGATGCAGATCGGTAAAACGAATGAGTTTTTTTTTTTTTTTATTTATATATGTATATATTTTTATATTTTTCACAAGAGAAATGAGAAAGTATCGATCAGACCTTTCGCTACTTTTCCATTGGAAAATATTATGACGATATTATCGAAAGTAACGAGTGCATGTTATGTATGTACGCTTATATATATATACGTATGCATGCAATATTAATCGATACTCTTCTTTATATATATATATATATTCGACGGAATGAAAGTAATGTTCAATAAGTATTGATAACAATTTTCAGAAAATATATTCGTATTTTATATTGCGAACAAAATGTTTACGAAGTCTTCTTCCTTTTTACTTGTCTGACCATATGTTGATTCTTACTACTAGTACTACTAATCCTACGGTAGTAGAGATATATTCATTTATTGATAATTTATTCCACGAAGTGCATCATCATCGAGAAGGTGCTCTTAGCTAAGGAGAAGAAATAGATATGGATAATGGGATTGTAAACAAGTCGAGAGAAGAAGATTAGCAAACCGATAAAGCCAATACATTTAACTGAATTCTGTAAAAAAAAAAAAAAAAAGAATTAAATCAATCTCATTTTTCTCGTTAACCCCTTCAGACCCAAATTTGGTTATAGGATTCGTTATACTACACACCCACACATACCCACACATACACATCATTCCCGTTTTAACTTCGAAACAACGCGTTCAATCGAAGTTTCCACCCCCTTTTCACCCCGACTTTCGCAAACTCGTGGATCCCTCGAGGAAGCCAGGATTATCTCTGAATGCATTCCTCGTATAGATTGTAAATGACTCCAAGGTGAAATAGCGAACTAATTAATTCCAAACTTTTTCCCGGTACCACCTCACCACCCGCACATCCCCTATTTCACGACCCCGTATCGTTAGATATAAAATTAGTACGATTAAATAATTGATAAAGTATAGTTGAAAAATGTGTGTCAACTTTGAACGAATGTATTTTTGTCAAATGATCGATACAACAAGTCTCGACAGGAATAATCTTAAAAAGAGAGAATAATAATAATAATAATAATAATAATAAAAATAATAATTTTAATATTATTATTATTATTATTAAATTTAATATTAATATTATCTATCCTTCAAAGGAAAGAAAAGGAAAAGACGAGAGTCAAAGAAATATAAAAAAGGGTAGTTCATTTTATTCGATGAATTTGTCTAACAACAGATTGAAAACGTGGTAAAAGGTGGAAGGTAGAAGAAAGAAAATAATGTTGTTGCAACCAATGAGTCGGTCACCCTTATTGACAATATTGGAAATTGTTATCTATTTATGGTAAAGGAATATACATGCAAGATAACAAAAGATTGAATGTAAAATATTTTTTCAAAACTACAATATCTTAATGCAGGTTGGAACAATTTTTGTTTTCCCATATAAACTACACCTGTTATGAAGAAAACAAAAAGAAGAAGAAAGGGGATGAAAAGGAGAGAAATGAATTATTAAGAAAAAAAAAGAAGAAAAGAAAAGAGAAAAGTTAAATTGAAGTGGCAGAGAAACGATAATAAAGAAAAGACAATGCTCGATCAAGCGGTCGATTTTACGCTCTGGTATTCCTCTCCCTCTTCCTCCTCCTTTTTCTCTTCATCCCTTTGAGCTGCGACTCTTATTCTATCCCAAGAGTAAAGGTACTTTTCCTTTTTAAAAAGGATATGAAAGAAAGAAAGAAAGAAAGTACCGGAGTTATGCCGCAGGGCTAACGCGAATTCGCAGACGATTGAAAAGAAGAATTCCGAGACATTAACAACAAGGGATAATAAACCCTTGATAGTAAAACCTATATTCCTTTTCTTTTTTTCTTTTTTTTTTTTCTTTTTTTTTTTTTCACTTAACAATCTGGCTAATATAATTTTCCGATTATCTTTTTTACATTTTTTTGTCTTTCTTTAAAATTAACAAGAGAAAAAGAAGAATAATTAACGAGTAGAACGAATTAAAAGTGTTTTTTCATCCCCTATTTTTTTTTTTTTTTTGTAAAGTATTAATAAGATTTATACAAATTTATGATAGAAAAAAGTACCAATGTTTTATAAAGAAAATAATGTAATAAAATAAAAATTAGAAATAAGTAATATATCATTGTCAATGTAATCTTACTCCTACACGTCCTACTCGTCATCGTATACTCGTCATACTCGTCATATCGTTGATTGGAACCCTCAACCAGGGTTGTATTGATTTTTTAGTACTATACGACAACAACGAGGTGGTACTACTGCAGCTCCAGTACCTTCACCGCCATATTTGTTTCCCCCAGGCAGAGCATCGTGACTGCGGAAAGTGAATTTTTCTTAAAAAGGTTCTTTCAACAACAACAATAACATCATCATCATCATCATCATCATCATCATCCTCGGTTAGCAAAGAAAACAAATTAAAAAAAAAAAATAAATAAAGGAGTCATCATTTAACGGTGAGTATAATCATTGTGTCATCATCTTGTTATAAATAAATGATCATATTATACATTAAAACGTTCATTCGATTTCTTCGATACTTCTTCTCTCATTTATAAAACACTTTATCATTTTTATTCGTGAAAATATTAGAAAGATCAATGTTTGTTTTATTCGTGGAACAATGAAAAATGTTGAATTTTTAAAGATCACAGTTATCAGTGTTTTTAAACAACGTGTGGAATTATTTTTCATTGACATTGTGTGTTGTTCAATTTTATTTTTATTATTAATATAACTAAGGAAATATTCTTTATCCAGTGCATATTTATTATAAATTTAATTTTAATAATGTAATGATACAATTACATGATGTTTCTATTAAAAAAAAAAAAAAAAAAAAAAAAAAAAAAAAAAAAACGATTAATTAATTTGTTGTGTGGTGTAATTTTTACTATTTGTTAACTCGTACGATTTTTATTTATCTTACCGATGGAATCCAGTTAAAAATTTTCTTATTAAAATAATATAAAATATTCCAGTGCGATTCGTATTGAATTTTTGAGAATGAAAAAGAAGAAAAAGAAAATAAAATAACACACAGGACAGTGGATCGTTGTTCGATCGATCGTTAAAGACTTCGTGTCTATTTTTAACTAACGCACGTGGGGAACACGAAACGTCACGGAATGTGAATTTCCATTCGCGTGTTATTTCATTTTTATTATTATTTATATTATTATTATTATTTTTTATTCAATTCCTGATAGGGGGAAAGAGAGAAAATTATTACGAGGACAACAAAAAATACGATAACGATAACTATGACTATGACGTCGAAGAGAAAAAAAAAGAAGGGGGTGAAATAAATTGATTGAAAATCTTTTACTAGCGTAAACCAAGGTGGTGGTGGTGGTGGTGGTGGTGGTGGCTTTCGTTGAAGATCGTCGATCAAGATAAGCTTATTTTTATTTACCCTGACGTTTAGTTGGCTTTCGTTACATAAACGTGTCTCTCGGATGTATTAACAAGTTAATTACTGTGATATAGTTTGCTAGATAAATAAGCTTAAGTATACGAAGTATGTTTGTACGGTTTATACATACTATAATAACGTATTTCGTTTTAATACTCATTGGCATATATTCAGTTTCGAATGTTAATCAGTAGATGACGCCTGACGATAGTCAGATTCAAGTAGTACAACTTGAAATATAGTCATCCAAGAGGGAGGAATATAAAAGAAAAATATTAATCAAACATGTAGAAATGTTCTAATAATTTTGATGTATATAACATATTTAGAATGAAATAATTTTTATACTAATATCATCTTTCTCTTTTGTCTTATTTAATTTGTAATTTATTATAAATATAGGACAAGTGATGATGTCTAATAAAGGATTTCTGGTATAAAAATAAGTTTTTAATTTGATGTTTAACAAATTATTAGTGAACATGTAAAATAATATTCTCTCTTTCTCTATCTCTTTCTCTATCTCTTTCTGTTTCTAATCTTTTTTCTTTTTCTTTATCTATTTCTTTCGGTCATGCATTTTCAACGAATACCAAACGAGGTCGCTCGGAATAGGAACACTCGCGTAGGTACGTGCAACCTCACCTTTCTCTCTTTCTCTTTTTCTCTCTCACCTGCGAATCGATCACCTGAATTTAAATTATTCAACGCAAAGACCGTTGCGGAATAATTATAATATGCTAGTTGCGTATATAATAATACAATACTAAGTATTTTCAAACCATTGAAAAAAATGTTTAAAATTTTTAAGAAAATTTTATAAAACAGTAGAGTACAGACAAAAATGTTAATAAATTAAAACTAAGGTAATAATACTGTGATAGTATAGTATAATTGTAAATCTTATCAAAGACATAATGTACACAAGGTAAAATGAAACAGAGTGTGAGTATAAGAGAGAGAGAGAGAGAGGGAGAGAGTTAAATAAAGCAAAGGCGCCACACTGTCTAAGCTTACCGCTCGATAAACTAGATTACGTGTTAACGCGCCGAACCTTTTATTTTTTTCTTCTTTTTTTCTATTTTTTCCTATTCTTTTTTCTTTATTTTTCTATTTCTTTCTATATCGTGCCGGTGTCATATTATGTCAGCCACGGTTCAGACCGATATCTCTAAGGAAACTATGTCACAACTTTTGCTACCCAAGGAGTTTCGTTTTAAAACATGCACTATGAAACAGGATTGGAATAAGAAAAAAAAATAATCTAAAATAAAGTAAGAAAAAGTCGAGCAAAGTAATTTTCTATCCCAAAGAGAAAAAAAAAAGAAAAAGAAAACCAATGAAAGATTTATACAAAAAAAAAAAAAAAAGAACGACACAAAGTTGCAACGATAATTTAATAATCCTTTTAAATTGAATACTTTCTTATTTGAATTTTAAAATTTCTAGAAAAAAAAAAAAATAAGAAAACAATTGATCAAAAGACTACGAAATTAGTGTTATTCTAAAAATTGTTAAAAAGAGTTATTTTATCGTTTAGAGGGGGGATTATAAAATTAGGAGCGCCATCTCTGAACGGTACTTGCTATTTATAAAAATGTTTAAAAAAGAAATCAACAAAAAAGAAAGAGAGCAATGACGTCAACTGCTGCGGTAACCGGTGGGAGGGCGTTTTTACTATGCAGGTCGACAAATCGCATGCGCCACCTTACCTACCCCTAGTAGCTACCCTTAAACACCACACTACGATCGATTATTTCATTTTGCGAACGCGCACGTCACGTTGTACGACGCAAACGCGCCGCTCAAAAACCCACCAGCCGAATGCTGAGAATATAGAGACACGCACACGCGCGCGTACTGGTTGGACTCTTCCTTAAAAAAAAAAAGAAAAAAAAGAAAAACATAAAAAAAGGGTGGAAGAAAGGAACGAAGGAAGGAAGGAAGGAAGAAGAAGAAGAAGAAGAAGGTACGAGGGGAGTCCTACAATGAACTACGACGAATATTGCTTACGGTCAAAAACTAACGAGAAATGATAAAAGTAAGACGTGTGTACGGTTTTCAAAGTTCATTCAACGTCAAATGAATTTTATTCGAATGATATTTTGAAAAGAAGAAGGAAGACAATAATCAAGAATTTAATAAAGAAGTTTTGTTAAGAAGAAATAAGAAGAAACGTCATTGGGTGTTGTTGTTAAGTTAATAATTAAGTTGTTGTTATATATTAAATTGAATACAATGTAGAGAAAAAAAAGAGTTACAAAAGAGTAACATAAGTTAGAACAAACAAAACGTTCGACAGTTAAAGATGTTAAGCATGTAAAACTATCCAAGTTTTGAAATCGGATCTAAAGGAATAATACAAGGAATAATTGTACAAAGGGATAATACAATTCATCTAAGGTGATAAAATAAAATAATATAAAGCCGGCACGATGCCGAAGCAAGTGCCGGTTGAGAATTTAGTGATACCACCGCAAGACGGTCGGATCTGCGGTACAATTTGTATATGTCAAATGACAGCAGTTTTATCATCGGTAGCATTGGTTTATTTGACAGTTGCCATATATATGCCAAGTACGCGTGCATTTCAATCGGGTATTAGCGAGGTACCAGCAATGTGTACGACGATACGTGCGGTAAATGCTGACAATTGCGAATGGGGTAGTTGCGGCGAATGGTGTTTGTCCAAAACGTCAGGTCCTTGCGTACAAATTCACGTTAATTTACGTCGTAACGGTTCTACGATATTATTGGCAAATTGTACAAATACAACGAACAAAACTTGTTACGGGATAGATCAGGAAAATGCGAAAAAATCAAAGTGCATAATAGACGAGTGTCGGAATTTAACCGGTACGTTTAATTGTTCGGCAGGTACGTGTATAAACATAACCGATGCATTCGAGTGTATGTTTCACGATACCGATCCACCGTTAAAGTGTTCCGGTAGACGTGGTAAAATAACGTGCATCGATATAGACGGTTTGTTCAATTGCAATCGTGGTACCTGCGAACGTATCAGAACACCGTATAATTGTGACAGACGTTGCGTAGATATACCAACTAGAAATAAAAATATGATATTATTGAGCGGCGACAAAGTATATTTGAGTCAATGTGAAAGAGCGATCGACGTTGAAACCAATCGTGAAATTTGGCACGAGGATCGTGGTGACGTCATGATGGCATCCTGTTACGGTATATTTAATTCAACCCTTGGCGTGGAAGCTGTCGATTGTATCAACGGTTCGGTATTGGAAAAGGATCTTTTAACGGATTTAACTAATTTCACTTATCTATCATATTTAAATATATTTGCCACTAAACCATTGGACGAATCAAGAATGGTAGCCCCACCTGAACAAGATTTAATAATAGCCAATGAGAGTAGATTACTGATCAATCTCGAAGGATGCGTTAATACGCTTCGCGACGAGTGCAAAGAATTTTTACACGAATATGGAAAAGATGGTTCTGATCATAATGCAAGGGCTAGATTTCCTTGTTATTATGCCGAGGGTAACACCGGTATCGTTGTTTCACGTTTCGATCTTGAAACAACTTATAAAGAATTTATGATTGCATTTATATTACCGAGCATATTGTTCATCGTAAGTTGTCTCACGCTGATCTTTTGTCAGCGTACAGTTGTAGTAGGTGACGACGCGAGGATGAGATTCAAAGGTACACCTGGTGCACTAGCATCGATAGAAAAAAGCGCCTCGGGCAACGTAGGGGATGCCGGCGGAGGAGATTCCGTCATGGCGCTCTGAGATCCGTCACGTAAGATTATTCGTCATGTTTTTTTTTCTCTCGCGCACATTAACGTATATGTTACCTGTATATGTTCCATTTTATTTTATTTATATTATTGTTTTCATATATATTTTCTAGAGAATGACTAGGTATTTTTTATTATATTATTATTATAGATAATAACTATATGATAGATCATTTTTTTTTAGGTTTTTTATACATACATATATATATATATTACTTACTTACTTATACATTTTTATTTTCTTTATCTTTTTCTGTTAAAAATTCAAAGATTTTTAATTTAATCTAATCTTATTATATTATTACAATATTTCAACAAATTATTTAGATATTCGATTTAGAATCGATAATACCTAAGTAATGCATGTTCAATATATCATTATAGTTAATTATATGTAATACCTAGTTGTTCTATATAACTCAACACAACAATAATGTTATTATTATTATTATTATTATTATTATTATTATTAATGGTAACATGTACATCGAGATATCCTTGCGTGTCCTCAACATCGATTATTCGTTTCCTGCCAGGACGATCTAGATTTATACTCGTTAAGGCAAACTCATTTTCTTTTTATATCGATTATTAGATTAGAGAATTTAGATTAGTATGTCGTTTATATTATATACATATTTATTATATATATATATATATCTATCTATATATCTATATCATTTGATAATCCTCTTTTTAATTTCTTATTTTTTTCCTTTATCCTTTTTCCACCTACCCCCTAATTATTTTTAAACAATTGGACGTTATTTGTTCGCAGGCATTCCCCTCCTGGAGGAGAGTCCGGCTCGTCAGTCGATATTCTCCCTGCGCGGGCACTATTGAAGTGTGGGGAGGGGGGGAACGCGTGGTTCTAAATAATTGTCATCTCGAAAAAAAATTTACATTTTACGAAATAAAAAGAAAGAAAGAAAGAAAAAAAAATATTTACAAGAAAATAAATATAAAATACAAAATAAAATAAAATGGAATTAAAATTGAAATGAAAATTAAAATGAAAAAAAGAGAAGGAGGAGAGGGAGCTTTAGCTAAGCTTTAATCCAAAAAAAACATCCGTTGTTCGTTATATTATTATTATTACACCGCACTGCCCGGCAAGCACATTTTTAACAAACAAATCTAATAACAATAATAATAGTAATAATAATAATAATAATAATAATAATAATAATAATAATAATAATAATAATAATAATAATGATAATACTTTTTCTTAATTGTTAACGCGTTCTTCACGGTGGTGCGCTTATTTTATAAAAGCCGTGTGTTTTATGCGACGAGAAGGAGAAAAGAATAATAAAGGATAATATCTTAAGAAAAAATTGAAAAAGATAAAGTTGCAAAATAAAATTATCGAAAAGAACAAAAAAAAATAGAAGAAATAAAAAATTCACAATCTTAAACACATATACACACACACAAATACAAAAACAGAAATAAACTAGGCTTCTCGTTGGCTCCGTCTCTATTTTTTCTTCTATTTTTTTTATTTATTTTTGATTTTGTTTTTCTATTCATATACCGTAATACGAAATTACAGATGGTACGGTACTAAAAGTCTCGTTGGAAGAAACAAAATAATTACGATAGATAAGCTTTTATATTGAAACAATAAATAAATAAATAAATAAATAAATATATATATAGAAACGAAATTAAAAAAGAAATAAGATTAATAATTAAAAAAAAAAAAAAAAAAAAAAGTATGTATATATGAGGCAAGAAAAGGAAAAAGATATAAAAAATGATATATACATATAATTAAGAAAAGGAATTAAAGAAAAAAAAATTTGGCGTATTCGTAATATAGTTCTTAAGGGTCCTCCTTTATTCAGAATTGATTGATTGATTGATTGATTAGCCGCGATAAAATTATGTGTGTGTGTGTGTGTGTATATAGAAGAAAAATGAGAATTTAAAGAAAAAATTTTCTATAGCAATTTATTAAATTATCCGATTCACCAATAAGCTCGTGCACACTTCGAGAAATAAAAAGAAGAGTAAATGAATAAATAAATTAATGAATAAATGAATAAATAAAAAGATTAAAGTATATAATATAATACTCAGCATAGTGTCGATGAACGTTCTGGTTATAGAAATAAAAAGAGAAATAATAAATAAATAAACGAACGAATCAAAGAAAAAAACGAAGAAGAAAAGAAAAAGAAAAAAGAAAAGAAAAGAAAAGAAAGTGGAAAATTTTATTATCTAACCATAAGTGTCGTAAAAAAAAAAAAAAAAATTCGCTGGACCCTAAGCCCCCCACCGTTTATACTATTCTCAAACCCATTCTCGTTTGCTTCACGTGGAAAAATAAAATGCTGTTGAACGAATAAAAAAAAGTAAAAAACAAAATCACAAAAAAAGGAAAAAAACTGAACGAACGAAAAGCAAGGGAGAAAAAAAAATTTACGAAAAATAAATAAAAAATAGAAACAAAAACATAATCTATCAAGAATAGATTTGGAATGTTCGTAATACGAAATTTAGCCGATGATCGATGATAATTTCAACACGATTAATAAAATATATCACTTTGAAAGTTAATCTGTTAGAAAATTGAAAAGAAAAACAATATTAAATATTTTACATAAAGAACCCCTCCCCCCCCTCTGCCCACCATCACTACCAACACGACCACCACCACTAGTTCGACTGTTAATTTAATTCGACATCGGTGAAATTCGTAATAAACGAATTTCCAAAACGACGAATATCGTCGTGGCTTCGTCGATAGAAGATAGAAGAAAAACTCGTCCGAATCGTCGTAAACGGGGTCCCACGAGAGACCCTGACAAAATACCAATCATTGATTCCGACGAGTCAACGGTTATCATGGGTGCCCAGGAAGAGGACACCAAATCTAGCAAGTCCAGTACCATCGGTGGTGTAATACCGATGGCAAAGGTTGCTACATTGGTTGAAAAAGCTAAATTTTACACGTCACTCTGCTTGGGCACCACTGCCATACTCGCGGTATTTGCTTTTCTATTTTTAATACCGTTCGTAGTCGAACCAGCAATATCAACGATACTTGCGGATTTTTCACCTCACGCGGTAGCCTGCATCACCACGGAACACGTTTATGCGGAAGGCTTAAAGAATTGTTCATGGGCGAGTTGTAGAGAAGGTAAAATCTTATCACCTATGTATATGCCTATGTATATATTTGTAATCTAAACATCCGGTATATTAATTAATTCTTGAATTGTAATTCTTGAATTGAATTCTTCTACAGGTTGTACGAGTGCTGCGTTACGATGCCATCAAATCAAAGTTAATTACACGAGATTACCATACGAAGAATTTATGAAAAAACCTATTGGCTCTATACCATGGGACGTCAGTGATACGAAATTTTTTGTCAACACCGAAGGATGCGGTTATCCACCTAGAGTTAATTGTTCTGATTTTTCCAAAAAATATGGTTACCGTAACATCGGCAAAATATTTCCATGTTATTACAGTAGAACCCATCCGGAAACTGTAGTGGCAAGGTTAGTTTAATAATACGATAACCTAATCTATTATTTCTATTATATTTATAAAAAAAAAAAAAAAAAAAAAAAAAAAAATATTAAAATAATTAAAATATAATTCGATAGGTATTCTTGGGATGAAAATTTGAAACACCTGGTGCTGGCATTAACCGTACCGGTTGTTTTATTTGCCGTTTCTCTTGGAGTATTNTATGGTTACCGTAACATCGGCAAAATATTTCCATGTTATTACAGTAGAACCCATCCGGAAACTGTAGTGGCAAGGTTAGTTTAATAATACGATAAATGAGAGTAAAGTTTCCGTAGTAGATGTTATAAAAAAAAAAAAAAAAAAAAAAAAATTATTATTATTCTTATTTAATTCGATAGGTATTCTTGGGATGAAAATTTGAAACACCTGGTGCTGGCATTAACCGTACCGGTTGTTTTATTTGCCGTTTCTCTTGGAGTATTATGTTATTGGTATTGTCCACCTGTTAGAAAAACCTGTGGTGGACCTGGACGTAATCTCATTGACAAATACGAAAGAAAGGAAGAGTAAGTAACGTGTATGTATGCAATTATGGCTAGAAAACTTTTTATTTCTTTATTATTTATTAATTTATTATTTATTTAATCGCTTTTTTATTCGATATATTTGTTAAGATATAAAAAGGAAAAAAATATTATATAATTATTATATAATAAATTATCCTACTTCTAAAATACTATGCACTCGTCTACTAATTCACTCAAAACTTGCTTTTTTGAAGGTTTCACTTGTGACTTTTTTGTTTGAAATATTTTCAGTATTCTTGGAGAGGATGAATTCGAAGAGGACGAAGAGGAATACTGACTGCTACCAAGGGCTCACCCCCCAGCAAGGGAGTGACGCCAAACATATTATCGAAATGATTATGTCAACGTACTTTGCGTATGAAAACAAAACAAAGAAATGAAAATAACCAGTAAATATTTTGGGATATTGACGTATTGATCCAAACGTTTTATGTCAGATATCGAAATATGATATCGAAGAAAGAAAAAAAGGAACACGGAAAAAAAGAAGAAAGAAACAGATTGAAGATCAAACGAACATCGTCGCATTTAGCTCGTTACTTCCGATTAATCGCCAACTATCGATATATTCGAGTTATCTCTCGTCTCTTTCGAACTAAACTATTATTCCGCTTAAATTACGATTAGTATTAGTAAACGTGTAAGAGAAATGTTAGTAATAATAATATTAATTAACTATTTCTCTCTTTCTCTTTTTCTAATTCTAAAAAAACGAAGCTTCGAATAAAACAATTTGCAATTTAAAAAACGATTAAGATTTAAAGTTTTAAACATTTTTGAGAAAGAAAGAAAGAAAGAAAGAAAGGAACAAAAAAAAAAAAAGAAATAATTTGATTCCTTCTAGGCATCGTTCCATAAAAAAGCTATTTGCACATAGGACAAATAATAATAATTATAGTAACAATAATAATAATAATAATAATAATAATAATAATAATAATAATAATAATAATAATAATAATAATAATAATAATAAGTACTAGA